TAATTTAAAACTATGCATCTAAATAAAATGACTTTTCAAAGTTTCTCAGAAAACTCTTAATGCAATAAGCATGCTAATATAACTGAATAGCTATTTGAATGTTTCCAATTCAACTTGCTTTCTTCAACCCAACACGGTGAAGTAGAATGAATCTGAAATGGATATAAAAATCCATTAAGACAAATCAGATTTCACAACCCATTCAGTAACAGCACTAATCCTAGATAGGGCACTCTCATACATCATAACAATTGAAAAGGATGTATCAAATGTCAAATACCAAATACAATCTAGAGAAATGTATACTTTCCCACCACATAGCACCAAATCAACATATGGAAGTTCAAAGCTTGAAGCACTATGAGAAGACAGGAGTAACACATCAGTGATACCTTTCGGTAAATTTCATAGGGTTTCCAAGGCTGCAAATCTTTTCTGAATTAGATTGCCCCATCTTCCTCCTGTGGAGCGGATGTTGGGGTTAAACCTCCAACCTTCTGGTTAGCAGTCAAATGCCTTAGGCACTGAGCCACTCAAGCTCCTTAGTTTCACCTATGAGCGGTGTACACACAGTATTCCAAGCATATAACTATTGTCCATGCAATACACTGCCAACACATAAACACCTTTTCTTCTCCTAGATACTGCTAAAAACAGCCACAACTGTGCTTCCCAGACATCCCACAAAAAATAAAACATGCAATAAATCACTGTTTTCCCCAAGAAAGGGCAATACATCTTCAGTATTAGGAGAGTAATGTAAAATTTAACAGTACTAGTGTATGTTGCAGTGTATCAGAAAGACTTGATAAATAACAAGGTAAGACTGAAAACAGATAGCAAACTGTCCATGTAGCCAAATGAGACTAATATCAAATGTTTAATGGCCTTCATAAAACCTTGTGCATTAGAATCCAATGACGTGGATACAAGCACTTAAGGAGCTATGAATCTAGCTTGATATTTGTCAGAAAATATTGCCAAGTTTCAAGTCCCACTGTAGAGTGCTAAAAGGCTTCCTGGCCCCGAATCAGAAATGGGTTCTGTTAGAGTCAATCCAGAAAAATCAATTGGAATATGACTGAGAAGAGTAGGTGACTGGAACTTGGTATGAAAAATTCAAGTTCCAGAAAAGTTGGTTATTTAATTGGTTGTTCCAAACAACTGAAAGTTCAGTATGCTATCATTTAATTGCAAAATAATTTCCTAATTAACTTTACAATTAAATTAACTCTACTTATATAATGAAATTTAAAATTTAATGCTTATAAGAATTAAAAAGCCTGTAATTTATTGTTTATGCTAAACTCTCATTATGTGACAGACACTGGTTTAATGACTTTGCATGTATTCTCAAACCCTTTAACACCAGTACTAGAATTATCTCCATTATACAGGTGAGAAAAATGAGACACAAAACAAGTAAGTAATTTAACCAATATCACACATTTGACAAATAGCAGTGCCTGGGATTAATGAATCATGTGCCACTGTTTTTCCTACACAGCTGAAACTCTGAGGAAGGGGTGGGATTGATATTAATATTCATTTGTATAAACTACATTATTATTATTTTCAGAGCAGCTTCTAATTACTATGCTCATATTGACTCTCAATTTTGAAAGATGTTAAAGTGACTATTACTTGCTGATATAAGTTATACACTCATATGTATCTGTTGAAAGAATTTAGTGTCAAAAGGGGGATAAATGATATTCAGGTTCTCTTCTGCATCCAAAGCAGTAAGTGGACAAACAAGTTCATCTCATAATTTTTTTTATGAAAACACTGATAATCTTTTAAAATAGAAACTTTGAAAACAAGGTTGCATTTTGTATAGCATTACACCATTATCAAACAGACTTTGGAAATACAAAAATGTTACTGTTTATTTTCATTTATCAAACACTAAAATGAATTCAAAATTATTTGTGAAAATGATATGCTGCAAAGTGTGCAGAGCATTATTAAAAAAGTACATACATACTAGTATTCAAGGTAAATTTTATATCCCAAATGAAAAACGGCCATTACATTTGGTTGGTCAATGACTGGATTACCACACCAAAAGAACAAAGGTCTTGACTTACATTTCCCCCCTAAGATAATAAAGAAGAATGCTCACATATGGATTGCTTCTTTAGATTTCTGGGACTTTTATGAATGAATTATCAGAGCTCATTAGTCATGAGAATACCTTGACAGTGGTTACTCATTATGAGTATTTTATTTTGCTTAAGTTTTCTTCTATCTCCAGAAGTGAAACACCCTGAATTCCAAACATCTCTCAAATTATTGCATTCATTAAATTGATTGATTTTGCACATTCAATACATTTTAAGGGCATTTTTTTTTTCTTAGAGACAACCTATAGTATCTCTTCATAATCAAGGCAATGAACATTTTCAAGTCCCCAACTTTCTAGGAAAAAACAACCAAAACAGTGACATATTTCCAAAACTCAAGAGACTTAATACTGGAGAGCACCTAAGCTTCCAAACTTCCCTAACCAATTTTCCCTAACAAAAATTACTAACCATAAAAAAAAAATGAACAAATTAATTATACCTGATCTTCTGATATGCCTGGAAAAAAGATCTATGTTGACATTAATGTTTAAAATCTAAAAAGTTGTTCACAAAAGTCTCATTGATAGAGAATAAAATGCAAAGAACGATGCTAAAAATACTCTAATGGCTTAATTTATATTGAAAGGATTCCAATTGTTCCATGGCCAAGAAAACATTACCTTGTTTTGGGCAGTTTTGTTGATCATCATTATAATATGTAACAAATAATATTTTGCTATAATTAAGACAATTAGCTTTTTTATCAGTAGACACTTCCTTTGTTTCTCTGTTCAAATGGTTTCCTCACCAAATCCATACTATTACAAAGACAATCTCACTCTAAGATTGTGTGCTATGTCTGGTCACCCTAACCCCAAGGTTAGCAGATTGCACAAACACTGAACCACCTTCCAATCACGTTTGCACCTGTGCAAAGAGACATGTCACCACTTCTCCTGTCAAAGTACAGAAAATTGTCCAGGGTATCAGTGACTTAATTACCAAAATAAACACAACAAAGCTAGTCTGTTTCTGACATAGACTTTCAATTCTACTCTACCACTCCAAGCAACTTTTAAAGCTTCTTTTATCTGTCAAAGAAAAAACGTTCGCCAAATCTGTTCCTGCTGTTATCCCAGCTGGCTTTTCATTAGTCCAAATCGTTCCCTCATCATTGCCCTCCTCACTTTAGACACATCATTGAGAACTGCGCCCTCCCCTAGTTCCCCATCACCATTTCCCTGTCAGCCACAGTGCCAGGCTTAATTTCTAGAACTCTGCAAGGCCCCTTCAGGAAGCACACTACAAAAGCATCATGTCTCATGCTTTCCCAAATCCTCCCCCTTCCTTCATTTCAAATCACTGTATTCACCCCCTCCTATCTGGAAAAGTGGACTCAATACCCACTTTCGCACTTCAGGTGCCCCAAAAGAAAACACAATACCACACACACATACACACACACCACGCCCCTTCCTCATCTCCGACTTCACTTCAGCACTCAAACATCCAAACTGGGTTCCTATTACCACCTTGCACTATCCAAAACACCCGCAGTTGTACGGGACATGGTAACTGGTTAAGAGAGAGAAAGGAGTTTCGCACATTCTAACCTCAACAGAGTCCTCAGTCTCACAAGCCACTCTCACATCTTAGCCACATGAAATTCTCTGGGGGCACAGCTGTCGCCTCTGCCGTTGCCCCCTCCTGACACCGCCAGTAATTGGACGCTCATACACCTAACTGGCACCTAGAGGAGGTAATTCTGGCGGTGCGCGGCGATACGTGGTGGGCAAGACCCGCGGAAGCTTAGAGAAGAGGGAGGATTTGTGTGTCCAGTCCTGCCCTTCTGTCCTGCTCCCAGGAGCTGGAGGAAAACATAGATAATGCAGGAGCGGGACCGACAGCGAAGGCAATAGCAAAAAGTTAAGAAAGAGGACCGCGGGGAACTGGGTATTCCTGGATTCGAGAAAAGGAAAGTCACGAGGGACATCCCGAAGGGCAAAAGAGTAAATAGTGTCTGCTGCACCGCGGAGGCGTGCAGGGAGAGTCGCGGGTTCTAGTTAGCCAGCCCGGGCTCCAAACAACGCGCGAACCCGTCATGGAATGGCGCGTGATTATAGGTATATGCAAAGGCAGAGCTGAGAACTTACGGAAGAAGATGTATTCGGTGTAGCTGCTCCAAATCTTGTCTTCGCGATACTGGTTGACAAAGGCGGCAGTGCCAGAGGAGTTACACGCCACCATGTGGAAGCCAGACTCAGAAAGGCGGTCGAACGCCTGCTCTAAGTAGGTGAACTTGAGGTAGAAGCGCGACGTGTACTTCTCGGGCGGCCGGTCGGGGTCGCGGCTCTCATTGAGCGTGTCCCCGAACACCTCCTTGGCCAGCGCGATGCGTCCGCACACCATGATACGCGCCACGCGCCGGAACTTGGCGTCCGCCTGGTTGTCGCGCACCGTAGTATAGGAGCCGCGGTAGCCTAGCGTGAGGAAGCCCGAGCGCTTGTCTGGCGCGCCACCGCCGCCGCCGCCGTGCGCTCCGGTGCCCGAGGGAGCGGCTGCTGCTGCCCCACGCACCAGGAGCGCGTCGCTACTGCCCTGCGAAACGTTGTCCTCCAGGTCGCTCTGGCAGCCTTCGTCGTTGAGCGAGTTCTGCTTGGTGACCTTGGGCGACAGCAGCTTGACCAGGTCGGTGAGCTGGAAGTACTCGGCCTCGCGCAGGAGCCGCTCCTTCTCGGGGAAGTGCTCTGGCAGCGCGAGCTGTTTGTCCCGCAGATAATCCAGCACGTACCTGAAGAGGAAGCCGTCCCGGTCGATGAAGAAGCGCGCCCGGCTGTCCCTGGGCAACTCTCCCCGGCGCCGGGCGCCGCCCCGGGGACTAGAGGGTGAGAACATACTGGCTAGAGTGCTGTCTGGGATGCTGAGCAGCGTGGAGTGCTTGGTCACATAGACCTGGCCGCCCACGTTCAACTCCACCACCTCGGGGAAGGGCGAGGGCGCGCAGGGCCCCGGAGCGGCTGCGGCTGGCGCGCCAGGGGAGCTGGAAGAGGAGACCATCTCGCTAATGGGCAGGATGGTGCTGCCGCTGCTGCCCGTGTCCTTCAGAGCCATCGTTATCCCCCGCTGCCAGCCAAGTGGCTCGGGAGAGCAGCACTTTCTGGTTCCTAGAGCCGGCGCTCCGCACCCCACGCGGCCCTTTGCCCTCGGTGTGCACCTCGGCGCCCTACGTCCCGGGGCCGGGCGGCGCGTACCTCCGGCCGCAGCAGCCCAGCTCAGGGCCCAGAGCAGCAGTGGCGTCGGCGGGGCCCTGGCTCCATCGGGGGAACGGCGCGCGGGAGAGCAGCTCCGCGAGCGCGGTGGCAGTAGTGGAGGCGCGAGGAGGAGCGTCTGCTCCTTTGGGGTGACAGCGGGGAAGTGTGAGAGAGACTTGCAAGAGGTTCTGGGCTGCTGCTCGGCTCCCCGCTGGGAAGGCGGAAGGAGGGGCTGGAGCAAAGAAAACTCACCGCCCCAGCAGCTTAGGAGCGCGCGGCAATCCCGGAGCGCGGACGGCGGCGCTAACTACTCCTAGCAGCCCGGGAGGCAGCACTGACGTCAAGCCTGGACTGGGACCAGAGCCACAGCTGTCATTTAAAGAGATAGGCCACAGCCGCTGGCTGCCTGGCTCCGACGCTAGGGGGCGGGGCCGAGAACCTAGCCTGGAGAAAGACTCTGCTCTGCAGAGAGCGCCGAAAAGCCGGCAGAAAAGGTCCGAAAACAAACGGAAAGAAGACAGCACATCTCATTCACCCACTCCATTCCCTCCCTCTCTTTTTTCTGCTTCTCTTTCTTCCTTCCCTCCATAACTCACCCCAGGAGTAAAACTAGGTTTGTATATTTGCATCAAGGTGGAGGTAGAAAGCACGAGGTGGTGAAGAATAGATTTTGATTGTAACAGATGCCACCCTCCTAACTTGCAATCACTACAAATGTTGGAATGTGAGTGTGAGCAGTGACTGTAAAAAACACTATGTAGGGTGAATCACTTGTATGTAGTGACTTTATGATACGTTTTGAAGTGAAAGCAAAATGCCTGTACCTTCAATAAAATCATATTTCATTATTGAATATTTAACTGTATGCACTTTTTCAATTGTATGTTGAAGAATATTTAAAACTCTGAAATCAGCTCATGCATTCTGTTTTCTTGTCCATTCTCCCTCGACTGTCTTCCCCTGTTCTTCAGGTGAACAGAAACGAAGTGTTTTCTCTTGGACAGCCATCCGCCAGCTTTTAAGACTTTAGTATTATTCAAGAGCTAAGAGGTAGAACAAAAGTACTGAGAAACAATATTAAGCTAATTTATTGGGATGTCCCTCGAAACTATGACCCTAAACCTCCAAACTAAGGAAACAAAATGTTTTGTTGTGCATAAACAGCTTCAACAGCTGCTGTTATTTTGTTTGTTTTGGTAAACAACACTTTTCAGTTTTACAGCTTAGTGATATCAACTACATTAATGGATTGTGCAACCAATGCCCTTAATTGATCGCAAATTTCCCAGCACCTTAAACTGAAAGTCACCGCTTCCCAAAGAATGGCTTTCCTTCTCCCCTTCCTCCTGTCTCTGGCAACCACCAATAAACTTTATTCTTTCTATATTTCCCTATTCTTGCCATTTCTTGTAATATCATATAATATTTGCAAAACCATGAAGGGATAGTATGTAACTTGATGATTCTTTTGTCTTTACAGTATTTGACTCATAGATGATGCTTCATAAATGTTTTTGCAGGGTTGTTGTTGTTATGTGCCGTGGAGTCAGACCTGACTCATAGCGACCCCTCTTTTGGTCTCCGAGGCAGTATCACTGCGGAAGTAGATTGCCCAACCTTCCTTCCGAGGAGTGGCCGGCTTCTGGTTAGCAGTCAAGTGCCTTAGGCAAACTTGCTCTATTTGTTCCTTCTTTCCAATCCTGACCAATCTTCTCTTTAAATCTCTCCATTTCCCATACAACTCCTTAGGACAAGAGAAGTGGCTTATATTTTATTAGTCCTCTAACCCCTAACAGTCAGGTCACAAACGAATTTAAATTCACTTTAATTTCCACTTGTACATGTCACAGGTAGTGTCTGCCAGATCAGCATTATTTGTGATGAGAAGTGAGGATGGAAATGCAAATGAGAAATTTCCCCTCTGCTGCAGCAAAATCTAACATGCTATCTCCTCTGGGGCATCCTTTTGTGTTCTGTTGGGAAACATAAAGACTCATTGATTTATAAAGTACAAAAGACAAAAAGAGTATATGATACCATGAAGTACTGTTGCTTCCCAAAATTATTAAAATTATATTATAGATGATTGATCTTTATAAGCCACAACCACAGAAAATGTTCTACCAATTTTGTAGATAACCTATGGTGGAGAGAGTCTATTAGGCCAGTGAAAGAACATGATATGTTTGCCAAAGGACTGAGACTTAAAACTGGTTTTGGGATATGTGTCTTCATATAATCCTCTCATTACTGCTTTCCCAAAAATTTATATATCAATTGATCAAATTAAGAAGACTTCATTTTAGCCTTCTTTGTTTAAAAGATAATCTCAAGCATTACATAATAGAAAAAAACACTATATTATTTTATATATCGTTTGAAGAATAAGAAAGCATTTGATATTTAAAATAATAGTTCCTGGAAAAATGAATTAATAGAAGCTTTATAACCTTCATAGATGAATAAATAATAATGCCTCAAAGCAGTACTAATGAAGGCCATTTATCATGGGGTAGATGTCCCTAATGATAAGTATGTTGCACACCATAGAATTGTAATGAAATGGATATATAATAGATATGCATATGTATATATGAGTGTGAGGCCTCCAATATTATCAGGTTCAAATCTATTTTGTTTTGAATTATATAAAATATACTTATAAAATGAACTGATCTAAAATTTAAACCCTAAATGAATTCTCATAGAAATTTATAAAAAATTGCATTATATGAAATACTGCTTTTTAAAAAATTAGCATTCATTAAGCATTAATCTCTAGTCTCTTCCCTTCCCACACTTTTTGTTTTCACATGCATTACGAACCAACTCTACCTTTCAGCCAAATTCCAAATTGAACAAATTGCAGGAGCAGAATAGCTATTTTTCTTTTTGCTAGGAATACCTTCCTTTTCCCACCAGCATCCTAAACCCTTCTCCTTGCTTACCTCTTCCCTCAGATGTCAGCTTGAATGCTGCTTCCTTTGGAAATCTTTCCTTGATTTACCGAACCAGGTTAATTTCTCTCATAAGGTGTTCCCACTGCCTCCTGTGCTCATACACAGGCAGGATTTAACACACTGATATGTAATTGTCTCTGATGAAGAGCAATCTGGAGTCTCTGTTAAAATTGAAGCGAAGAAGTTTTCAAAGGAATAGAAAATAGTGGGGAAAAAAAAAAGTTTGCAAATTAGGAATCACAAAGTCCAGAGGATTCTGGACTAAGATCCTGTGAGGAGACAGTCCAACAAGTTTTTATAAGAAAATGTAAGGAGCTTCAATAAAAATTCAGTGGATGGTTGACAGATAACAGTTACAAAATTGGGTGAGGGTACATCTGATTGGTAGGAAAATACAAGGAACTTCAATAAAAATTTGGTGATTGACATTTAGATAAAAGTTACAACATTGGGTGCATATGTTCTTGAAACATTCATGAAAACCTTCTTTTGTGACTATAAGAAGGACATGGGTAATTCTAAGTTTTATCTTGAGTAAGTACCTGTTCTGAGAATTGTTTTGAACCCAGTTTACTGTATTATTAAGCAAGCAAATTTCTTAAGCAAACTAAATAACATTCTTCTCTAAAATTGTTTACCAAATAATTTTCTTCGGGTGTAGTGGAGAGTCACAGAAGTGACAGGCTGCATTTCTTGATGTAGAAACTACTTTTGATTCAAAATGGAGTTTTGGTCCTCATATCTTAGCATAGCCATCATTTCATGTTGAGTAATTTAGAAGTTAATTTAAGGAGTTAATTTAGGAGTGCTCTTACTCCCACCAGGAGCTCTAGTGGCATAATGCTTAAGGCCAGGAGCTCTAGTGGCACAATGCCTAAGACATTTGACTGCTAACCAGAAGGCTGGTGGTTCAAACCCACAGCTGCTCCTCAGAAGGAAGAGTGGGCAATCTATTTCCATAGTGATACCGCCTCTGAAACTCAAGGAAGAGTCTCTGTGAGTCGGATCTGACTCCATGGCAGTGAGTTCGGTTTGGTTTAATTTACTCCCACCAGATGTATGTATGGCATACAACCAATTGCACTATTCTATCTGCAGTATCCTGAATGATGTCTGGCCCAGGCTGATGTTTTTAGGTGCCATTGAGTTGCTTCCAACTCATACAACAGAAGGAAACACTGCCTGGTCCCGTGCCATCCTCACAATTGTTAGCATGTTTGAGCCCATCATTACACCCACTGTGTTGATCCATCTCACTGAGGGTCTTCCCCTTTCCTCTGATCCTCTAGTTTACTGAGCATGATACTCTTCTCTGGGGATTGGTCCTTTTTGATAAAAGTCTGAACCATAAGAGGTAGTAAATTTCTACTTGTTGAATGTTTATTGTATAGAAATGTGTTCATATCATGAATGGATGGTTAAGCATGACTTGTGTGCTAGGCACTGAGCTAAGTAATGAGATTAAAGAGAAGAACAAGAGTTAGTCCTTCATATTAAGATAAGGAAAGGGAGAACAGAATCTGAATAAAAGGAGAAGGTCATGCAAGAGGGAGACAGACACAACAGGAACAATCGTTTTTGGTGAACTGAGAAATCAACACCAAATATTGTAACTTGAATATCTTGCTTTAAGCCACAGACACCAATACTAATATTTACTAGAGCAATTTGACCACAAATATGGATCCTTAAAGAATCCTCTGTTGCTGTGCAAACATGAGACACCAAACTTCTCTGACTACAAGCTACACTAGATCAGTTCACATTATTGGCACATTTTAAAATAGCACAGTCAAACCTGTATATAGCACCCAAAAAAAAAAAAGGATATATTAAGTCCAGAATATAATATATAAATCGTATTAAATGAAAAATAACTACATATATCTTCACCAGGTTG